ATGGGGCCCTGTGATTTCTAGTTACGCCCACCTGATAACCCAAACAGCCCACCTGAGGGTGACCCTGCAGAGCCCACCATAGACTCTCTACGGTGGGCTCTGCAGGGTCACCCTCAGGTGGGCTGTTTGGGTTATCAGGTGGGCGTAACTAGAAATCACAGGGCCCCATACAAAATTTTGCTATGGGGCCCTGTGATTTCTAGTTACGCCCCTGGTGGCAAACCATTACCAAGGAATGAAAGGGAGTAATATTTACATGAATACATTACTAAGCCAGGGTGTTCTAGGTACACTGTGTGAGTAAGCTAAGTATGGGGGCACAAGGACACTGCTGTATTTAATAGCATAATGTAGTGGAGGAATACATACTGTATATGCAGAAATGTTCATTGCTAATTAGTTTTACACAAGAATATTTTTTTCTTCCCCACTTTTCTTATGAATACATATATTTTTTTCAAAGGTTGTACATATAAACTGATTATATAACAATTATAAAAATCTGTTTCTTCATTAAGCACAAATTCCATCATGCTTCTCATTGACATTCCTTGATCAGCATGTTTAGCATGTGTTGCTTTACCTAACTGTATATAAAAAGACAGTTCATGGACTTTTTTAGGGCTGTGTGCCATACAGTACTGTACGGTTATTTGTAATTTTTGTTCAGTCCATCATATACTGCTTGTTTTCCTTTTTGTAAGGGCTGCAAAAAAAGAAGCAGAATGTTAACTCTGTACTTTAAGGTATGTCTAAAAACAAATCCTTTTTTTTAGTTAAGGATAGATTGAGGAACGATTAGAACCTTTGTCAGGTTTTTAGGTACAGGAAAGCATTCTTGCGGGATTTGGGATCTCCATCTTTCTCAGTAGATAGCGGTGACGCTGCGGCATGTGGCTGGAAGCCAGGGTCCAAGGTAAGTATTTTTCCCTTTTTCTACTATTGATTCATTTACTTTTGGCTAGGGACGTAGAATTAGTGTACTTTTACTGCACTTAACCTTTAAGAAATTCTTCTGCTCAAGAAGGAAGATTTTCTTTCAAATCCTTCCCTGGTACTGTTTTTGCTAGGGATGCACCAATACGTTTTTTTCCAGATGCAATACGAGTCCTGATACTTTTCCTTAAGTACTCGCCGATTACCATACCTTATTTTACTATCAAGAAACAATTATTGGGAAGAAAAGAGGCATCAAGGTGTGTGGCCAGTCATAATTCTGATAATGTTCAGTCCTCCAGATGTCTTGTAGCCCCTTCTACCCTAAGTAGAGTGGGTACTTAAATTTAGTGCTGCTAGCACTGTTATTAGCCTGGCTGATTAGTAGTGTGGTATAATTTGGTTAATTTTAGGTGTTTTGCTATTGATTGCACCTACCTGTAGTGGGGTGTGACCCTGCTACAAAGTGGGGCAGCCAGTAGGGGAACATCAGGAGTGTCTAAGCCTCCCCAGCCAATCACTGGGAGTTTCATGGCCAGTGATGCATGCTGGGGAAGTGCATAAATATTCAGGAATTGCCCTTGCTCAGTCAGTCGGCCCCGGGCTTAGCCTGGGGGTGGGATGTACAAGTTTGAAGAAGCTGACTAGGCCTCAAACCTGGAGGAGGCCACATAGGGATCCAAGTGGGGTCTGGAGAGGAAAACTAGAGGAGCCCTATGACTGTTGGAGGTACTAGGAAGGCCAGGGTGGAATGGACCTCAGGAACAAGTCTGGTGTCTATCCCAGGGAAGATCTCATGCACATCCCTATTCAGCTGTTGTTCTACTGCACAGCGTCATCCTCTGTACTACTAAAGAATTTCTTCACTGTAAGCCTAAAGGGATTGGTGAGTCTGGACTCTATTTTTGCTATGGATGTCTGAAGCCCTATGCCCTCTCTCCCAGTTTGGCTGTTTTTTAATAAAGCGTCTACAAATTCCTTAAAGTGACTGGAGTCCAATTTACTGTTCACAACCCAGAATCTGGCTAAGGATTCACCCCTGAGAGTGAAAGGCCAACCCTCTGTCAGCCTTTGGGGGTCCACCTCAGGCCTTTGGGGAGTCAGGGGGACACTGCAGTCTTTTTCTGACATAGTTCAGATTATCCAAAAAGCTATCAAATACCAGCAAAACAACTTACCTCATAGTCAGGGTTAGGAACAGGTGGGGGGTGCTCTCTATTACCTGATGAATAACATCAGGATTCACCCCTGAGAGTGAAAGGCCAACCCTCTGTCAGCCTTTGGGGGTCCACCTCAGGCCTTTGGGGAGTCAGGGGGACACTGCAGTCTTTTTCTGACATAGTTCAGATTATCCAAAAAGCTATCAAATACCAGCAAAACAACTTACCTCATAGTCAGGGTTAGGAACAGGTGGGGGGTGCTCTCTATTACCTGATGAATAACAAAAAGAAACAAATCTGCGTTATTTACTATGTAAGCTCTGATATACACTCTATATTCTCCTGCTTAATACTGTGCTTTGCCATTGGAATTTTACCATTTTGACAAGCACTGCTTCCACTGGTGACATACATAAAGATATATGCATTCGCTTTCTTACATAAAATCCTTTTAATTGTGTAGTGTTCAAAATGAAACAAACACAATTTAATAGGTAAATGCTCCAGCAACAGTCAAAAACTCTTCATCTATACATTGCTGATGTTCCCAATTTACCAAAGTCACCCTTTAGCGTATTGATATATGTCACCTCTGTTTCGGCCTCCAGGTGCGATCTCGTTGCTTCTAGCAGGTTTTCTCTTGCATCCAAAGTAAACCAAAAGAGCTACTCCAACGGTCAACAGGCTATCAGCTATCAGGATACCAGCGACTAAAGGAATGGAGACCTCTGTGCAGCTTTCACATACTGTAAGCGAATGCATAAGATTAGGTTAGGATAAGTTACACTGCAACCCCTTCCACAATCAACATAAATTACTATGCTACTCAGCGCCATCTAGTGGTGGTAGTGCCATGTGAATGGCATTCATGCAGCTACAGGCTGGGCAGAAGATTTATAAATCAGCCCATAGTGATGGGCTGTAGACAAATTGATCTAAATTCCAGTGAAATTACTTTGTTTACATTCTAAGCTCTTTAAAAATGGGGTTGACTGTGGTACCATTGTTCTGATTCTGCCAACATGGTTTTATGGTTTGGGCTCTAATCACAAGCAAATACTGGAGTGTTATGGGCCAGTGCAGGGGCGTAACTAGAAATCACAGGGCCCCATAGCAAAATTTTGTATGGGGCCCCCGTGATAGCTAGTCATGCCACTTGCAGAGCCCCAGCGGAGAGTGACCGTGCAGAGCCCACCATAGACTCTCTATAGTGGGCTCTGCAGGGTCTGAGATCTCTTACCTGTCAGCGCCTCTGTGGTCGCCGGGCCCCGGCTCCTGTTCTGTCCCCGGGCCCCGCCTCCTCTGCTATCGACAGGCCCCGCCTCCTCACGCTATGGTGATTGTTACACCACTGGGCCAGTGCATGAGCACATTTATTTGTGCAACTATATGCAAATATTTTTTTAACTTTTAAAATAATCAGTTTCAGGTATTATAACCTATTAGTAGCTATTTCATTTAATTTCAAAGTGGTACCTTTGTAAGGCAATGTAGCATCGTGCTGACTCTTTTATTTGTGCTCAACAGCAAACACAATATGTCAAATGTGCAAATAGAATTAGCAAGAAAATTAATTTCCAATGATGTGCACTGCACTGTGCATGCCATTCAGTTTTTAAGATCAGGAATCCTGATACAATAGAAAAAGTTCAATGCTGACTTGTAATTTTCAGCATAAATCTTTATTGTAGCGTCTTTCAGGACAACCATGCAGTTTGTCCAAACCTGGTCTGAGTCATAGCAGGTTGTACAGCAGGTAAGAGAGTCTAAAATACCCTGCTAAACAGGAAATGACAACTTAGAGAAGCTGAACAAAATTTGAAGCCCTGTTCTGGTATCCTCACTCCACAGTTGCCCCCCTTCCTCCTGGATGCCCCCAAATGGGTACTTTATGCTTTTTTAAATAATGCAGGCAAGTCATATGACATGCAGGGTCCTCATCTTCTCCAGTTCTGGGCAGGCCTCATTGATGTAGAGAGCAGTGCTAATATGATGACACCAATGCCACTATCTGTGTCATTGCATATTGGGGTAAGGAGGAGCCATGGTGACATCCCCATAGGACATCATTCAACACCATCAGAATGAAGACATCTAGTGAAAGAAATGAATGTGGGGGCCGCACCATAGAGGAAGTGACTATTGCAGCTTAGTCCTGGTTCACACCGAGCGTTTTATAGCGTGTTTTTTGCACAAAAAATCCCCC